AATGTTTCTTTAATTGCAAATGAAGAAGCTACTGGTAAATGTCATTGTGGATGTCTTTTTTGTTGAAAGGTAGAGACAAAAAGTGATTATGAACATAAATACAGTAAGTGATAAAAATTGCAAAGAAAACCACATTCCCTTATTTTGAAGCTATTTGGATATTCTGAAAGCTTTTCATAAAACCATTTTACACTGTTGAAACCAGATTCTTTGTTGAATTTATTCACAGTGTAAGTAACTAGTAGTCTGTGATCATTAATACAAATTCACTTGACTTCAGGTATTTTTTCTTATTCTAGGAAAGGTTTGTTTTGTTTTGGAATTTCAATTGAATTTTCAATTTCCATCTTTAAGTACTTCTCTGTTTCTTTACACTTTGATTTTGCTTTTTTGCTGTTTGACTTCACTTGAAATTAAGATTATTTTATAGATATATTGTTAAACTCAGCCATTTTATCATGCGTACAATGGAACACATATATGTTACAGCTGTGTTCAGTAGAAGATAGCATTCAAATAGGCAACTATCACAGAAAATTTACTCTGACCGATAAAGTTGCATAATTAGCACCTGATCTTACTAAAGTTTGACATTTGGTTCACATCTGTATTATGCTGGTTTAGTACAGAATCCAGTGGGATTTGAAATTAAGAGACTGCCCATGAAAGTTAAGTTGCTTTCTGCCTCCTGCTCATGCAGGGGCTCTGTCAGTCCTGTCATGGCCTTTCACTCTTCCTTGCCAAATTGTGCTTCTTTTGTGTCAAGCAGTTAAACTTTCCAAGTCAGTTGCACAAATATCAGTTCTTCTGTCCCTCTCTTGATAAACCTTTGCTTGCTTTACCAAATGCCTGGTGTACACTTTGAAGAGCTTGAGGAAAGAGAGGACAAGCATTTGTGATTGTGCCACAATAATGATTTGTCAAGTGATTGTGCTTGCTGTCTAGAGAGTGCTGTTGGGTGACCTCTTGCAAGCTGGGCTATGGAAATATAACTGCACCTGCTTTAGAGTTATGAGTGCTGTATTCATTCCTACAAATTACTTTATAGTGTGGAGCTAATAAAATTCTACATTTATTTTGCTGCAGACAGAGCAGTTTTGTTTTCACACCTCTGGCCTGGAAGGTTTGCAAGTTCAGTGTGCAGCTCCAGAAGGATGGAGCCAGCACTCTCTCTAGTTTGATTTACAATCTAATACTGCCATTCACTGTTAATTTCACATGCTCAGAAGTGCTGCTTAGTTAATAATTTTCAGTGTCCCTTTTCCTACCTCTGGCTTCTCATTTTGCTGCTCTTTGAAAGTTTCTAAAATAGTCAGCTGATTTCTGTACAAAAAAAGTAATAGTTCAAGACAAAACAGAAGGGAGTGTTAGAAGGGGAGCCAGAGGTAAAGATTATAGGATCTTTTTTTTTTAATTTTATTTTATATACCACGGGGTAAGTACAAGGTATATATTGAAATCTTTTGACACATTCAGATGGCAGACTATATTAGTTTTTGCCAGTTCTTCCTAAAATAAAATACATTCAACAGAATCTCAAACAAGTGCTCAGGATACACAAGTTTTTATGCTGAAATGGAGTTGGGTTTCAGCAGTACTTACTGTCAATACTAATTGCTTGCATTGCTTACAATGAACAGACGTTTTTGTGTTAGTAGAAATAGACCTATAAAACTCCTTGTACATACTTGGTAGTTTTTTCTATTTCCCCCTTACACAATCAGTTGGAGCAAAAAATCTTTTTGGAAAGATCAGTGGGGAGGGTCAGAAATTTGTGTATCCTCTGTGCACTACTGGAGCACGAAATTTACTGTTGTTTATCAAACCTATTATTTTTGCAGAATTTTTTCAGTTTCAGCTAAGAGAGGTTTGGGACAATTGTACCACTTTTAAGGGATCTTTTAAGCAGTTGCAAGTGTTGTCCTGTTGGCTGTCTAAGGTAGCTTCTCAGATCTATTAAAACTTGAATCCCAAAGCACTTGCTAGTTGAAAAACAAAAATTAAAGTTTATCAACAGCTCCTTTTTGTTTTTAAATATGTAGTTTGCATTACTGTGTATGTAGTTGTTACTTCCAAAAAATGTATCATGATAACTCTCTGTCATATCCATTTTTCTGTATCAAAACATTGCCTGTAACTTCAGGAAAAATAGAAGTTTCTGTTTTGGTGTTTTTCTTGGAGTCTTAATTCATTTTGAATGTGTAAACTCAACTTCTGGAGTAAAAACACGTTCAGCTGGCTAGTTAGTACTATGGAAGGCTTTGACTTGCCTTTTAGCAAAGCTTTAGGTACTTTCAAGCTCTTAATCAGAGAGTGAAACTGAATAGTTCATTGCTCTTTGGTCTTTATACTTTGCATGAGTGTATGCTCTGCTCCTCCTAAATGAGAAATAAAATAGCCTTGTCACATGAGGACTTCTACTGGCTTTTATAACTGAGTGTTTAAGGGAGTTGTCAGGCTTTTGATTCTTGTGCTGATCATCATTTTCAAGGGATGAATAATTTTTCGATGTTATTGTTGCCAGCTTATAAATTCTATTTCCAAGGTAGCTGCTATGGGTGTTAAAGCAGTAAGCATCCCTTCACTGTTTCTTACCAGTTGGATTTGGTATTAGCTGGCATTGTCTTCTGAAGTGTTATATGTTCCATTTATATTAATCATGTAAAATCCAATTACATAAGCTGAAGCTATAGTTGGTTCTTGGTATACCTGTATCTGTCATGTTCTGAATCAGATTAAAAGTTTCCTGTGTTCTTTGAACTTTCTTATTTATTCAAAGTTAGTAATAGATAGAGATAGTTGGTGTTTAGCTATTAATGAAGTTTTTTTGGCTATTAACTTGTTCAAGTGTCATGGGCTGAAATCTCACTGCTACAATGAAAATATGGTTTATTTTCCTTTTCTTTTGAGAATTGTGGAAGATTAAGATTTAATACTTACATTTTTCAGCACAATTGCAATTTAGCCAATAATTAAGCAGGAATTCATGTTTTGGGTGCCTTTCTATTTAGAGGTTTGTAGGGACCATCTCACATCATTTTCATATGCAATGATATTTGAAATTTGATCTATTTCTGTGATTTATACATGCATTTTATATGGCCTTTCAAAGAAATGGCGTATATTTCTGTACAACTAATTCTAGTAATTCTAATATTAAATGGCATTTCAGACTTCAAATAATGTTATCGTATAGGATGAAAGAAAAACAGACATGGCAGCAACTAGACTGCTAGTCTGTCAAAACTGTTCACACAAAGTAGATTTTAAAATACTATCAAACTTCAGTTTGACAGAGGCATCTGTAATACTGAATGTCTATCAGCCTAACTTCATCTTTTGAGAACCTGAACATATTTTGTAGTGAGAACATAGTTTTAAACATAAGACTTTCAGGAAGAGTATTGCTTTTGGAATGAAGGACTTTAATTTTAAATGTTTAAAGACTTGCAGGAGAGGAGTTGTTAGAGCTCTGGATCTGTGCTGTCACATATTAGCCATGTCGGGTACCTGGAGTGCCTTCTACCAAATCTGTACAGGCAGGGTCTTCCTGCCATCCCATCCCAAACTATAATGCTTGAAACACTTTAGACTTTCACTGTGTTCTGTACATACAGAAAAATCCCCATCCTGTGAACTTCACATTCTAATCCTTGTTTCACCACTGGCTTAAGTCTAGCAGTGCTTTCAGTCTCCCTGACCCTTAATTGCATTCCATGATTGTGATTTGCTATGCATACAACTTCTGCTCACAGGAAAAGCATTTTTGGACTAATATTATTTGATTAGGCCCAGCAATTCCTGCAGTTTCTACCTGAAACTGCCATCTGGATTTAAATGTGCTAAATTAGTTTGCACTTCTTTTTAAGGAGCTAAACAAAGAAATTAAAGATGCATTTATGAATGGCCAGATATAAATGACTTTCTTACAGCTTTATTTTAGCTTTTGGGATTATTTGTGTAAAAGCAGCAAATAAACAGCATGAAACCTTTTAGTCCATTTTCATATGCAGGTATTTTTCTTCTTGATAAAACTGGTGTGAATTAGTGAGAAAAAAGAGTAGTAGTGAAGCATATTTTAATTTATGTTGACATAAGCTACTTCTAGGAAAAATTCTTAAATATCAGTCGAGAAATGCTCACACATGCTCACTTACTTCCATGTCTTCTGCCAGTCACAAAAATTGAGACTGGGGGAATCTTCACCTATATTCTTATGTTTTCATCTCTTTCTGAAGGCTGAATGCGAACTCAAAGAGGTTATAATCTTTTGAAGCTCATTTGGGTGGCTCATGAATATGATTTGCTTTTTGTGATAATTTCAGCAGATCCAGACCTGTCACAGCAAATTCATAGGTTTTTGGAGGATTATCAAGTCCTATGGTAACTTTTCAAAAGTAGAGACAAACAACTATTTAACAAAATATATAAGCCTTTTGATAGATTTGTCCTTATTAATTAGCACAATCAGGCAGTCAAGTTAAAATGCGGTTTGTATGTTCTATTTAATTCATATTGTATTATTTAGAAATTGACTTCTTTACAGTTATATATGTACCAAGGAATACCTGCAAATATAAGAATTCTTAGATATTTTAATGTGACTCGCCCAAGTGATTCTATATGTTATAGTAATATAAAATGTGTCTAGTAGAAAGTATGCACCAGTAAGTGACAACAGTATAAATCATCTATTCCTTGAGTTTCAGAAGACAGCACTTTTTATAATAATTTCTTGTGTGACTGTCATGTATGTGAGTATGTGTATATCTACCTTAAGCTAAGCATAGAATAAATACACTTTATTTGAATAAAATGTTGCTAGAGTTTTTACAGAAGCTGTGTTGAAGACATTGGGGTTTAATTTAAATTTTGATAGAGAAGTCCAAGGTAACTTGAAGCGTATTCTTAATGATGACTGAAGAGTGATCCAATAATTATGAAAGATTAATATAGAGTAGTCTGCTGGAAGATAAACTGACTCCTCCACTCTTTGGCAGGTGGATGACATCTTAGGAGAAGGCAGTGACGAAAGTGATACTGAAAAAAAAAAGACAGAAGAGGAAGGTGAAAAACCTCAGACTTGTGCAACAGAGACTCTAGGGAGGAAGTCAGATCAGAGACCTGGATCATCATCGTCGTCATCAAGTGAAAGAAGCTTAACAGGCAGTGTACCCAGGTATTATTTTTTCAAATGTAAGAAGTGTTAATGATGTTTCATTGTGTTTCTGCTATTCAGCATGCTTTCTTACAATCTGGTGTTTGCCATCTGATGTTAAACTATATATAGGCAACTTTTTCTTTTAAGTCTGTGAAGTCATGCTTATCTGCAGTGTTTTGGGATTTATTTAAGGAAGTGGTCTTAGTAAATGTCTTATTGAGAACCTGCTCAGAAAGAACTGAAAGCAATTGAACTGCACTTTTTTTAAGGTTGTCTCAGTCCTGTGTCAGATACAGAACCATGTTCTCTGCATGTTACTTTAAGTTTCTCTGCATGTTCTCTGTTACTTTAAGTAAAATAAAGCATGGTCTGTAAAGTTAAGCTTTTTTTGTCCTAACTTTTTCAGATAGTTGTATGTTGGTCATTCATAACAATGAAATTGTTGGGATGCTTTTCTACTTAAAATTTAAACTTGCTAGTCTCTTCTTCAAAATTGATTTTACTGTCCCAGCATTGACTGTTGGATAATGACTATCAGCCAAGTTGCTAGTATACTAGAACTTAATAAACTAAGTCCTCATGTTAAATATATTGCACCATGTTAATAGTTTTTAAGCTTAACAATTTAGAGTAAGCAATATAAGATTTTAATTTAGAATTGCAGGGGTCATCAGCCTGTACTATAGGGTGCTGAAAGTGCAAACATGATTCAGATGTGTGTTATAGTTCCTTTCTTCTCTCTAACCAAACTCAATTCCCAACCATAAGACTTTAGGCTGTAACACTTTTTCCTTAATGAGGGTAATATAAGTAGTAGGTCTTAAGCAACTGACTAAGATTATTTTAATTTTTCTGAGCTTTGTTCTAGCACACAAAGAAGGTATGAGAGAAACTGCAAAAACTGACATGGAATGTAATATATAAATGTTTATGAAGAGATTTTGATTGGGGTAGTAATGTTGCTGTGTGTTGGGTTTACTGTAGAAAGAGCTACAGGGAAGCTTGTGCGGCCTTTTAGTTTATCATGGGCATTTCTAATCATTGACCTTCTTCAATAAAAAGTCTCCAAGTTATGAGAATTTGATTTGTGTCAAGTGGATAGAAGAAAAATTTTCTCCCAAATTAAATTTGGAAGAAGAAAGGCAAGCAGATGATGAATGTTTTAGAGCACATCTTGAAGCAGCAAGGCATGGTGGCATGTCACTGTTAAGTTATCCTAATATTGTGATGTTTCGTTGTATGGAAGACATACCAGTTTCTGGAAACCAAAAGGAAGAAAGAGTCACATTAAGGAATATTGCTAAATAACTGTTCCCAAAGTATGTTGTAAAAAGATAGAGGAAGTGCATTTGTAATTAAATTTTATCCTGTATAGAGGAAGGTTTTTAAGTAAGCTTGGCAATACTTCTTCAGTTAGAAACTGTATAGACATAGTCAGTTTGCTAAATTGTATTCAGGATTGAGCTTGGTAGGCATGTTAGAAAACATACTCAAAAACTGCTGGATCAGATGCTGACCCAGTGTCTACTAGGCAGGAAATTCTGCTTGATAAGAAAGGAGCCCATCAATCCAATTACATTTTAAGTTTGAAGCTTTAAATTGACGTTTTCATGTTCAGTAAGTGTTGTATGTGCTAAAGAAATAGTGTATGAAAGGGGAAATATAAGAACAGACTCTGAAAAACAGAAGATGAACAACAAACAGTCCACATATGATCCAGTTCTCCTATGATCTGTCTCAGCTCATTCCTATTAGAGATGAGGCCTACAGAGACTATAGGTTTCTGCAGCTCCTCTACACATTTTCAGTAGTTACTGATACTGAAACCATAGCATTTACAAAAAAATCTAGCTCTTATATTTAATGTTAGTCTTCAGTCTTGAAACTTGCAGAATACTGTGATCATTTCTTTGATTGGTGCCACTTCTGAAATTCTCAAGTATGGAGAAAATAATCTTTGAGAAAACTGATAGCTCCTACTGGAGAAGAAGTGCAGCCTTTCTCCTAGATCCATTGCTAATTCATAATCAATGAAAATTGAGCTCAGTGCCTCAGAAATCCCACAACTATCTTTTCTGTGCCCATTTACTAGAGTTTTAAAAGGAACTGTGGTATTTTGATTTCTAAGTGTTTTCTTTCAAATATAATAGTACTTCCTTACAACATCCACTCTTCTAGAAGACAGAAATTATAGTTTTCCTTTCTTTCTTACTGACAGAAAAGACTGCTGCAAACTCTGGTGCAAAATTTTGTTGGTGATATCTTTTATCCCAATTGAATGAGTATATTCATTGTCACTGTAAATTTATTCACAGTCTTGAGACACTCTACTTTGAGATTCTCGAGACCTAAGTTTGTTTACAGCTCAGTGCTTCCCAAGCTGTCAGACTCAGATTTGTTACAGTCTGGGATATTTTTCAGAAACAATTTCAGTGACAAACCATTCAAAACATATTAAGGAACTATCTGGTATGTGGTCAAAGTTTTCTTGAAAGTACCCTTAATAGCCAGCAGCACATTTCTAATATGGCTGGCAAAATAATTGTAGAAATCCAACCATTTTTCCAAAGAATGATGGTTCCTCTGTTTCCTTACCTAGGCAATTCATTGCATTGTTTCACTAGTAAAGTTGTAATGTTATTACACTGAACAGTCTTCCAAAATTCCTTTCTAGATGATGTGAATATGCTGTTGATTTGATTTTTACAGTATAGAAAAGCTGAAGGAATAAATTTAGAAATACTGGTGATTTAAAGTCATAATTTCCTGCCTTCTGGATCATTTGTTGCATTAGCATAGCTCACATAATCATCAAGCAATCTATCTATTAAAGAGCTTCTGTGTAAGGTCACCCTAGAAAAAAATGTATATTGTGAAGTTAATTTTAAGAACTAAATATTTCATTATCTCCTGTTCCTTAGAATAGATTTTATTTAATGGGACATTGAGTGATGTCTAACTGCAAAAGGAACAGGGATCAAACTTTCTGTATGTGGTCAGTGCTTGGATGTTCAAGAGAACATTTAACCTTGAGTCCACAGTGAACAAATCCTAAAGTAAACAATTGCTTGCGTTTGCAGGTCATTGGAAAACATTGTTTGTCTGAAGAAAATTCAAATTCATTTTGCTCTTATTGGTAGAGCTTCTCCCACGTAATTGTTTCAAACTTGTAATCAGAATTTTGTGGTGTATGGTTATTCTAAACTACTTACATTTCTGGACTCATTAGAGTTTTGCCATGTGTAATAGTTAGGTCCTTTTGAAAATCTCTTGTTCAGACTCCCTCAGTAAGAACCAGAGTTCATTACTGGAATTGGCCAGAACTAGTGGATCAGTCCATTTTTGAAACTGCACTGTGGTTTTGGCTGTGGGCTTGCTGTGTCAGTGGCCATGGATTACAGAGGAACATGTCTCATTTTAAAGACTGTTCCCTCAAAGCTTATTCAAAAAACCCCTAAACTCTGCAAATTAGAGATCCTTGACAGGCAACCACCTCCTCTCCCAGCTATGGGAAAGACTGATTTGCTTTAAGAATTTGCATTGATGGGTGGTATTTGTCAGTTGGAAGGTGCTTCCCTGGAAATGCATCTCTTAAGGTGAAGCAAGTTAGGGAAATTCAACATAGATGATGTGATGGCTCCAATTTTATAGATTATTACAGTTAGAAAGTTTCAATTTTTGAGTCTATTTCACAGAAAACAGACAGAATTTGTCTCCCATTATTAATTTCCTGTAAATTCAATCTAATTCAGCATTCTAAATTAAACATCTGGAAGAAGAAAGCATCCTTCAGGTAATAAGACAACATGATAAATACTTTTTTACATAACTACATTCTGACTGATTTTGCAAGGTTGTTACAAGTATTTTTTTCTTGGGTTTAGAACTTAACTTACGGGGTAATACAACACCTGGATTGGCCATCATGTTTCAAGTCTGTACAGTACTCTTGTGACAAGTTTAAATCGCTGTTCAGGTGGATGTTTTGAGGTGTTAAGAGCTGAAACTTTCACCAGCTTCATTTTTCCCAAAACTATTGATTGCATTCAACCTTCAAAGTAGAAATTGTTCTTGATTCCTTTTGGTATATTTTTTTCCTTGGCATAACAATTGTCCACATAGTTACTGCAAACCGAGTTCTCATATATTTCTAACAGTTTGGAAGTAAACAGACTCTTTGATGTAGCCCACATAAGCAATTAAAAAATTACTGCAGTTTCAGTGAGATTTTTTTTCCCAGAAGCAGTGGTGAAAAACTCCAGACTGAAATCCAGGATCAGCTTCTAAAGAAGTGCTTCTGTTGGCAGCACATCTCGCTATTTTCACATGAGCCAGTTGTTCTACAAAATTTTAATGGCATTCCTGTTTGGAAGGAATTTTGATAAAGACTCTAAAATGGAAGAGGATTCTGGGCATGCAAAGCATAATTTGCTTCTGTACTTATATATTAAAAATAAGTTTTCATATAGGAATGTTTTTATTTGAAAGATCACTTGTTGCCCAAAATTTCCACATGAGAAAATCAATACTGAGGTAATAACAGCTGTAACAGCTTTTTGAAGCTATTTTAATTAATTTTATTTTTTTTTTGTCCAGAGGTAGAGTTCTTTTTTTTTTTTTTTTGTTTTTTTTTTTTTTTTTTTTTTTTTTTTTTTTTTTTGTTTTTTTTTTTTTTTTTTTTTTTTTTTTTTTCAAGTGTGTATAGTCCCAAGTACTCTACCCTCTGCTACGTTGAATCAACTTGCTTTTAGTTTGCGAGGTGGAAAAATGTAGGTTCAGGTTCTAGAGGATTGAATGAATGGAAACAAATGCTAGATCTCAGTTGATAGTTTATGTATCAAGGGTGTGCCTTTCTCAGCCCTAATGTCTTGAAAACCAGAAGTCCTTCAGCTGTAATCTTTATCTGATAGGGTTAAGCTCTGATTAGTGACTACCTTCAAAGCTTCATTAGAGTTGCTTTAGGCAACTGAGGTGCTTCCCATCCCCTTTTAACCACATTCTGTAGGTTATTAAGACAT